CATAAAACAATATGTGTACTACTGTTTCATGAGAAACTATTTGTTCCGTAAGCCTTCACCTGAAGTACAATAAAAAAAAAAAAAAAAAAAACAGAATATTTGGATGGCCCCCCGGGTAAATGGAAAAGGTTGCTCATGACAGAAGAGATCACCCCAGGGATGGCACCCACCCCCAGCCCTCCCTCCCGGCCTACCTGTGTAGTGGCCCCGGAAGGTGACCCTGTCTGGCCATCTGGTGCTGCCCCCTCCTCTCATTCTGTCCCGAGCTGCCTGTGGACTATCCTCTGTAGTCCTGCTCTTTTCAGAGAAGGGCCGGGGGGAGGTTGGCTCAGATTCGGAGGCTGGATGGGAAAGAGGGGATCAGAGAGGGCAGGGGAGTGAGGGGGCCACACAGCTCAGGGAGGCTCTGGGGCAGACACCTGGATTTTAATCCCAGATCTGCCCCTTAGTGATAGCAGCTGACACACAAGGATCACTGGCTTTGAGCCGAGTGCTGGTCTAGACCCTGCATGTGCTGTGTCGTACACCTTTACAACAACCCTGCAAGGTGGACACTGTTATTACTGCACTGTTGGTGGGACCTTTAACCGCTCAGAGCAGGTAAATAGCCTGGCCAAGGTCACCTGGCTAAGAAGGGGTAGAGCCGGGGTTGAACACCAGCCACTGACTCAAGAAGCCAGGTTCCTAGCCACTCCTGCAGGACTTCAGGCAAGTCCTCTGTGCCTTCTGGGCTTCAGCATCCTTATCTGCAGCATGTGGGAGACATGACCCACCCTGCAGGGAAGCTTAAGAGAGGTGATGTATACCAAGCCCTTAGCAGATAGCTAGCACACAGTAGGTGTGCAGAACATGTGGCTGTTATTAGATGCCACTATAACTGCCTAAAACAAACACACAGAAAACCTTCTCTAAGTTTTCCCTAAGGAGGCTGCCGTGGTCCCTGACCTCTGACCCAACATGCCCAGACCGTGGCTTCCAGAAATCAGTGCTGGCAGGCGATCACTTACTCAGGGTCAGCCGGGGCACCTCCCGAGGCACCGAGGAGGACCTGGCTCGCCGTCTTCCTGTGAGGATGGCTTGCTCTGCACCTCCAGGCTCAGCAGACAATCTCTCTGTGGATTTACTAGCAAAAGGGAAAGAAAAACAATGTCACTGGATATCCTACCCTTATGCAGCCTTTAAAGATGATCAGCAAGAAGGCTAACCTGGGGAAATACTTATAATGTAATGGGAGGAGGAGAGCAGGGAAGTCAACACCAAAGACTCTGGAGTCAGGTTCACAGAAAATGGCTCTGAGCCTTTTTGACCCTCAGCTTTCTCATCTATTAAATGGGGATAATAAGAGCAATTACCTTAGAGGGTAGCAAGACAATGTCCATAAAGCCCTCCCATAGTTCCTTCCCATAGAAAATACTCAAAAATGTTAGCTGATTTTATAAGTTGTCATTGTAAATGAATGACTACTGAGTGAGTAGGTAAAAGGGTCGATGTCCCAGAAATGTTCTAGCTCTTCAGTTACGTGGTGGGTCCAGGGATATTCACTGTATTGTTATTATTAACATATGTGTTTGTATAGGAGCCCTGGTTGTGCAGTGGTTAAAGCACTCAGCTGCAAACTGAAAGGTCAGCGGTTCAAACCCAACAGCTGTTCGATAGGAGAAAGATGTGACAGTCTGCTTCTGTGAAGATTTACAGCCTTGGAAACTCTATGGGGCAGTTCTACTCTGTCCTATAGGGTTGCTATGAGTCAGAATCGATTTGACAGCAATTGGGTTTTTTTGGTATTTATATAATCTTTTATGCATCAAATATTACACAATAAAAATGCAGGCATGAATGAATGTATGAATGAGTGACAGAGTGGGCATGGCAGTGTCCAAGTCCACATGTCTGGGGAGAGTCAGAGGCTGGCCCAGTCTGTCTTCTGTGGCTGTCACCAAGGCACAGGGGCAGGAGTTTTAGGGTTATCTTACCTGCCATATTGGGAGCCCCAGGTGATTGAGGAATCTGCCGGCCGGTCCCGGGCCCTGGTGGGACAGTTGGAGGCAGATGCTGGGTGCATTGGGCTGCGCTGGGAGGGCCGGTGCAGGCTGTCTTCTAACCGCAGGCGGAGCCGGGACACCTCCTCTTGCAGCTCACGGATGGCCTGGCTGGGATGGGGGTGGAGACAGACACAAAGAACAGATGCACAGTGAACAGAGATGAAGCCACCCCCTGAGTGCTGCCTGGAGCCCGCAGCATCCTCTGACCCCCTGCAGCAGGCAAAGGCTCCATCTCTGCTGTCAAAGGATTCCAGAACTTCTCCGCACTTCCACTTTTCTGGCCACACCCCTTGACACCTCTCTGAGTTCATGTCACTGTGTATGAGCAGGACAGAACCTTCCTTTGAGGTTTATACATCCTAACATGCAGGGCCTCCGAATATCTGTTATGACACACCAGTGACAAGTTCTCAGGACAAACATGAGATGCAGAATAAAGAGGGCGTTGGCTAAAGTTCCACTTTAAAGTTTGAACTCTGACCTGCCTCAGCCCCTGGGCTGCCCTCCTTCTTCTTCCTCTATCTGCGGAAATTCTAACCGTCCGTCCAGGCCTTGCTCCATCCTGCCCTTGCTCAGCCTCTTCGCCCAAGACATTCCCTAGGGTTGTCCAATCCATCCCTCCACCTCTGGCAGAAGATGCTTGTCGATGGGTCTCCCCAGCCAGATGGGGAGCCACTGGCTGGCAGGGAGTAGGTCTTCCCCATCTTGCAGCTCCTGGGTCCCTTACATCTTATAGGTGCTCAGGAAAAGTTACTGAGTTGGCTGCCAGGCTTTAAGGGGGAGCAGAGTAAAGGGCTGGGCCTGAAGAGAGGACAATGAGACACCAGGGTGCATCCTACCACCAACAGGACTGGGAGGGCTGAATGAGAGAAGGCTGGAAGATGCAGGGCGCTATTTGCAAGGCTGCTGTAATCCCTGCCAAACCGCTGAACCCAGCTCAACCTCTCACCTGCAACCTCTTATTTGCATCTAGATGGCAAACACTGTCTGGATTTCTCTTCCTTTAGTCCCCGAATCTCTACAGCCTTGCTCTGTGGGCATTGCTGGCACTGTGTGTAGACAATCCCACCCAGGCCCACCCCTATGTACACACAAAACACCCTACACCCTGAAGGTTAGAGGCTGGGCTCAGCTTGGCTGTCTTCTGGGCTGGTGCCGGCTCTGACTCTACTCCTTGGGCCAGCTCTGGGTGGGGGGCTCCCCTCTGGGTTAGCTCTTGCCTGGTGGTCCCTGGACTAGGGGAAGAGTGTCTCCTGGTGCCACCTCTAGCAAACATCAGCTCTCAGATGAATGTGCCAGAGGGAGAGGAGACCTCTCTCAGGCTATGCCCCAGCACGCTGTGCGTCCAAGGGCAGTCCGTTCCCCTGGCAATCCCCAGGGAGACGCTGTTGGGGTTTCCAAGGCAAACAATGAGGAAGGAGGTGGCGGAGAAAGAGCTCCCATTACTAGTTAACCCCTGGAAGGCAGGGCTGAGGCTCCGTGCTTTGTGCAGGGCCAGACGGCAGCTCTGGCACCCTCTGGAGGTGAAGTCTGTTAAAGGAGGGTTTATGAGACCTGGGGCTTGGAAGACCTACTTAGGTGTCACTTCCTTTCTCAGGGTTGTTTTTATCAGTATCTCAGTCTTCCTGACTTAACTCTTTAGTTACTGAGTGCCAGCTGGCACTTAAAATTCATCTTCCCCTGCAAACTTACTGCCCTTCTTGAGTTCCCCATCTCCGTACACATCCAACTGGCTGGCCACCAGAAATCTGAGTCATTCTAGACTCTTCTGTTTCCCTGAACACCCCCTAAAGTTAATTAACGACCAAGTCCTCTGGGTGCCTAAATCCCTCTTCCCAGTGCATCACTCCCTGTCTGTACAATTAACTGAATCTGTCGTCCCTAAGTATTCAACTTACTCTCGCCCCGTCCTGGTGAGGAGGAAGCTGGGGGTGGTCTCTGCCGGCCCATGGGTCAGAGGGGCAGCTGCAGGAGCCGGAGTAGGGGGTGAGCTGAGTGCCTTGCTGGGGAGGAGCTGTTCAGAAATCCGCTTTCGCACCTTGAACTCCGAGGAAGGGACTGCTAGGGAGACAGAGACCAAAGTGAGGATACCACAAAGAGCATCCTTGAAGCTCAAACTTGTGTGGGCAGAATGAGGGGACAAAGAGACGGTGCCCGGCTGAGGTCACAAATGAATTTCCTGATAAGTTCAGTGACCCACTGACCTCAGAACCAGAGATGGGTTTTTTGCTGGGTGCCTGGGGTGCTAAGCTGGGCCCACAGAGCCACGGCTAACGAGAATACCGCCCACCCGCCCACCATTACAGCATCGGATCCAAGTCTTCAAAACTATCCCCTCTGCAAACAGTTAATCACCCTCTCATTTGGGTTCCCCCAGACTCCGTCATGCATCTCACCATGTAGTTCTAGGACTGGCTCAGAGCCTCCATGTCCCCCTGAAACGACAGCCATGCCTTTGCATGTGTGTGTTTACACCTTCACATGTGTGTTTACACCTTTGCATGTGTGTGTGTTTCTGGAGAGAGTGTTCATAACTTTAACCAGCATGTCACCGGGGTCGGTGACCAAACATGAAAAACCTGTTAAAAATGAACTTAGATACTACTCATCCATTTAAAGGAATGAACTATTGATACATGCAACAACCTAAATGAATCCAGAAAATTAGACTGAATGAAAAAAGCCAATCCTAAAAGATCACATACTGTATGATTCCACTTATATAACATTCTTGAAATGACATGACAAAATGGTAGATACGGAGAACCAATCAGTGGTTGCCAGGCATTTAGGGTGGGAGGGAAGTGGGTGTGGCTATAAAAGGGCAACATGAAGGATCCTTGTGGTGATGGAAATGTTCTGTATCTTAACTGTATCAACATCATTATCCTGGTTGTGATACTGTTCTACACTTTTGTGAGATGTTATCATTGTCGGAAACCGGTGAAGGGCACATGGAATCCCTGTGTATTATCTCCTACAACTGCATGTGGATCTACAATTACTTCAGAATGAAAGGTTTAATTGAAAATTTGTTTTTTTTTTTTTTTTTTTACTGATGAACCTTAAAAAGAGGCAAAGCTAATCCATGGTGTTAGAAGTCAGGATACTGGTGAATGGCCATCTAAGATACTCCACTGGTCTCACCCCATCTGGAGCAAGGGACAATGAAGAAAACAAGATACGAGGGAAAAATTAGTCCAAAGGACTAATGGACCACAACCACCACGGTCTCCATCAGACTGAGTCCAGTACAACCAGATGGTGCCTGGCTACCACCACTGACTGCTCTGACCGGGATCACAACAGAGGGTCCCGCACAGAGCTGGAGAAAAATGTAGAACAAAATTCTAACTCACAAAAAAAGACCAGACTTACTGGCCTGACAGAGACTGAAGAAACCCCAAGAGCATGGCCCCCCGACACCCTTAGCTCAGTAATGAAGTCACTCCCGAGGTTCACTGTTCAGTCAAAGATTAGACAGAACCATAAAACAAAACAAGACTAATGGGGCACAACAGCCCAGGGACAAGGACTAGAAGGCAGGAGGGGACACGAAAGCTGGTAACAAGGAACCCAAGGTCAAGAAGGGACAGTGTTGACAAGTTGTGGGGTTGTTAACCAATGTCATAAAACAATACGTGTACTGTTTAATGAGAAACTATTTGTTCTGTAAACCTTCATCTAAAGTACAATAAAAAATTAAAAAAAAAGTCAGAATACTGGTTACCTTTAGGAGGGATGGGAGTGACTAGAAGGGGGATGTAGGGGGTCTTGGGTTTCCAAGAACCACACTCTTGGTCTGAGTATGTTTATTTTATGAAAATTCATCAATTTATGTTTTTTTCTGTATGTCTGTTCTAGTTCAATAAAAGTTCTCATACATTTTCACATATATGAGGTGTAAATAAACACACACATATGTTGGCATAGGAAACAGCTTACAAGTTCTACACCAAAATGTCAGCAGTGACAGTTTTCAGCAGATTTTTTTTTTGTTCCCTTTTGTCCACCCTATCTGTAAGTTCAGAGGCAACTGTGGTTCAGTGGTAGAATTCTTGCCTTCCATGTGGGAGACCTGGGTTTAATTCTGGGCCAGTGCACCTTAGCCACCACCGTCTGTCAGTGGAGGCTACTGTGATGCCAAACAGGTTTCACTGGAGCTTCCTGACTAAGACAGACTAGGAAGAAAGACCTGGCAATCTACTTCCAAAAATCAGCCAGTGAAAACCTTATGGATCACAACAGTCTGATCCCATTGTACAAGGGGTTGCCATGAGTCAGGGCCTGATTCGGCAGCAGCTAACATCTACGATTTCAAATCTGCCTACAATTAACTTGCATATTTTGTATCCTAAAGGGTAATGCAAGGTTTTTTTGTGTGTGGGTTTTTGTTTTTTTAATTCAGGCCACCCCCCAGATTCTAGCCCACCCTGAGTTGTCCACTCACCCATCTCTGCTGTCAATGCCCGCTCCAGGTGAAAGCTGGGTGCCCTCTGCTGGCGAGGACTGCCTGGGCTGGAGACGTGCCTCTGGGCTCGGCTCCTGGGTGTGCTGGGCTCAGCAGCTGTTCTGGGAACCACAGGACCCCTGGCCTGGGGGTGAGAGGCTCCATCCTGGGGCACAGACGCAGTGACGGGCCGTGTTGATGTCCCCAGGGTGCTGGGGAATGATGCAGGGAGAGACACATTGAAGTCACACAGAGAGAAGCCCTTAGACTACAGCCTCCGAGTCTCCCCCACTTGCTAAACCAATGAGCTCCCAGCCTTTGGGACTTTGCCTCCTTGGCAATACAATATTTCTGAGGTTGTACCCCATTGTGTATGCATTTGTTTATAAGCTACATAGCTGTACATGTGCCAACCAACATATGCAAAATAATAAAGCTCAATTTGTTTTTTAGAAAATATAAAGAGAAATAGAATTTCTAGCGGTTTCTTGCAGTCACCTGGTTTTGGACGCCACCACTTTACATGGTGCCTCCAGCATGTCACCCTTCACCTGTGTCCCATACCTTCTGCCTTCCCTTTGGGTTCCCGCCCAGCTTTCTCCTCACATAGCTGCCATGTTTGCCCTTTGTCCTTGCCTTCTGTTCACCTCACACTACCCTCCCTATAGTTTTTGTCATTCACCCATTCATTCATTCATTTATTTGTTCAACAAATATTTATTTCCTGGTCTGTCACTCATTGGCTGAGTAACACTGGGCAAGTCCCTTCCCCTTCTCTGAGCCTCTGTTCCTTTCTACCAATAAAATGCAACAGCGAGCCATCACTGGGAAGACGAAATGAGGTCTGGTCCAGAACAGAGGTCTGTGAATGCTCTGACTATCGACCCCTGTGCAGGGCATCACAGACACTTTGGTTCCCAGATTACCCCAGGTCTGCAGACACTGATGGAACAATGGTAGGGGTCCCTGGGATACCTGTTATGGGAGAGCCGGTGCTCTGGGGCCTGGGTGACAGGTGACACTCTGCTGGTTTCTGAGCCCACAAAGCCACTGTCTGTTTCCGGTGATGCCATCCAGGGCTCCTGAAAGAGACAGTATCCGTTTAAGTCTGAGGAATGTGCCCAAGGCACACTGGGAAGCCCTTCCTGAATGCTGGACTGGGCTTCACATTCCAGAGGCTCACAAACCCTACTGGGAGGTTGGCCTGGCTCCCAACAACCAGGCCCAGGGTGTCAGGGTCCGCAGGCCCTCAGGGCCCAGCATGAGCCCCAGGCTGAGAGCAGGGACTCCACGTTCTGAGTGTGCCCTGAGCAAGCCCAGAGCTCACTGCAAGCCCTGCTCCCCTAAGGAGTGGGAGCTAGAGACCCTGGGAGAAGTGACTGTAGCAGATTTCCTGAGATGAGCAATAGAAAGAGGAGAAAACGGTCTTTTTGCAAGCATCTTCTGGCGTGGGCCTGGACTTCCACGGCCTTTTCTGACTGCAGAAATGCCCTAGCCCAATCACTGGGAGAATAACATCCATCAGACAGGTGCACCTCCTACACCACCACACCACCAGCTGACGTCAAGCCAACTCCAACTCATGGCGACCCGATTTGGGTCAGAGGAGAACTGTGTGCCACAGGGTTTTCAGTGGCTGATTTTTCAGAAATAGATCTCCAGGCCTTTCTTCCAAGGTGCCTCTGGGTGGACTTGAACCTCCAACCTTTCAGTTAGCAGCCGAGTGCACTAACCTTTATACCACTCAGGGACTCCAAGGCAAGCCACAAAGGACACAAATAGAATGATGCCAGGTATCTACCCTCAAGAGGTGCAGAGATTCCTTACCACAAGCTCATTAGGGCTGCAGAAAGTCCCTGGACCCCTGAAACTATAGGCAGAATGTATGTGGGTATGTGCACATGCATATATATACATTATTCTATGAAAGGACCCACAGCATAAAGGACTCTTGCAACAGTTTAAGATTCACTGCTCTAATGCACAAATAGGGCAGAGAGTCAAGAACTAGCTGCCTGGCTGTGATAAGCAGGCTGGGAGAAATACAGTCAATGGCCGCAGACGCTCAGAGGAGGAACAAGAACCCTTGACAGAGGGACGGGGCTGGGAGTGGGCATGCACAGCAAAGAGGTGGCATTGGGCATAATGCCTGAATGATGAGCAAGAGTGTGACTGGCAGGGATGTGAACAGCAGGTATTCCAGGAAGGAACGGCATGAACAAAGCCTGGAGGTAGAAAACTCCAGACCATCTGGGGGATGGCCCTGAGGTTCTGAGCCAGAGGTCCCCCAGCCCCCACATGGACACTTACCTCCAGGTGGGGCCCACCAGCTTGGAGGAAAGACTTCTGTGGAAGGCGTTCAGAGGTGCCACTTCCTGCCAAGCTGGTCATACTGCTCTGGTGGGACACCGCAGACTTGGTACCGCGAGGGGGGTGCGGTGTGCCAGGGCCTGGAGGGGGGTGTGGCATGCCAGGGCCTGGAGGGGCTGCCTTGGTCTTGTCCAGGCCTGGCGGGTGTCCTTCTCTGGCCATGGATGTCTGGAAGCCGGATGGCTTCACAGACACCATCTGCTCCGTGGTCTCCCTGGCAGGGAAAGAGAAGTATGCCAATCCTGAGCCCTGGCATGAGCCGGAGAGCCCTGACCCTGGGGTCAGCCTGTCCCAGGATCCAAGCAGTCCAGGGCATAAGCGTGAAGTCAGACACCAGGTGCCCGTCCTGGTTCTGCACCTTCTAGCTGTGTCACCTTGGGCAAGGCATTCCTCTCTCTGAGCCTCACTTTTCTCAACTCCATGATGTGGATTCCAACAAAACCCACCCAGTATACCACAGGGGAAATACTCTGAGAACAAATGAGCTAACACAGTGTTTCCCAGGCTTCAGGAATTTGCATACCATCTTCCCTATTTCAGTCACCTCTGTAAACTTCAATCCACTTAAAAAGATGTTATTTAATTATAAATAGATAAGTATTTCATGTTAGAAATAGAAAGCAACTTTAAAAATAAATACAAGACTTGGAGGACACTGAGCTTCTATTAGGGGTGATGGCAAAACCTGGAAATGGATAGTCATGATGGTTGCACAACACGAGGAAAGTAATTAATGTCACTGAATTGTATATGTAAAAAAATTCTGAAATGGCAAATTTTCTGTTTTTTATATATATATGTATACTCATGACAATAAAAAAAATTAAAAACAAGTAAATATAAGAGACGTGGAAACAGTATTATCATACTCTAGATAGATCCTGCTGTCTGCTGAAGGCTCTAAGCCTGAGGCCTGCTCACTCACGCTCTATGTTCCCTTTCTTTTTTTAAAGGAAAATCAAAAGAGGCGTTAAAGTCGTAACAGCACTAACAGAGACTTTCCCTTTGATGTAATTAGAAGGACTTTGACCGAAAAGGAGAATAATGTTATTTAATGCTGCATCTGTCCTACCTGAAATCCTACCCCACATCACCCAAAATCACTCCACATGCTATCAATGGTATACATTCCACATTCTGGAGAGATGCTGAGGACAGGAGAGCACTTTCTACACTCCAAAGAGTTTTCTAGCTCACTATGACAATTATTACCCCCGTGTTTCAGAGTTGGCATGGGACAAGTGGGGGAGGTTCACTGACATACTTAAGGGGGACGCCATGACTTCTCTCAGCCTGTCCTGGGAGCTGCCTTGGGGTGAGCCTGGTGGCCTCTCCTTTCCCTGGAGTTAGAGCCGGCCGGTCAACTTCCAGGACACGCCCCTTTTCCTCTTCTTCCTCCTCCATGCTCATGGCTTCCGGAAGGGACTTCACACTGATATACCTGTAGAAGAACACACAGACAGGCATGACCTCTGCCAGCAGGGGCAGACGAGAAGCAGCCACCCCGGCCAAGGAGGCCGGCCTTGCTCCTGGGGGGCACTCACCGCTCCAGGAGGCCATGGAAATCTTGCTCCATCTGCAGTTCCTTATGCCTGAGTGGGGCTGGGAGCTCCGGTGGCCTGTCCTCCACCTCACTGCTGACAGAATTCACATCCACATCCACATGCAAAGAGCAGGGGCCAGCCCCAGTGGTGTCAGGCTGGGACCAGAAAGGCAGAGGGGCAGAGGTTCAGTAAATACCTAAACATCACTTTTTAAGCACCCATCTCATGCCAAGCTCTTGCTGAGTGCTGAGAAATGAGACATATGAGACTCATTAACTCCACTACCCTTTTATGTGTGCGAAAAATGTGGGAACTGGACTACCTGAGCTTCAATACTGACTTCTAGTAATTGAGCACCTACTATGTACCAGGCACTATATACACATCACGTCACAAAAATCCCACCAGTACATGCTGTTATTACAACCCATTTTATAGACAGGTAACTGAGGTTCAAGGAGGCAGAAGGATTTGCCAAGAGCCACACAGAGCAAGTGGCAGAGTCGATATTCGAACCCAACTTTCCTGGCAGAAACACGCCTCCTGACCCCTTTCCATTCCAGTATGGCCACTCCAGCCCCCAAAAGCACCTTCATGGGGGGAGCATGGGAAACCCTCAAGGTGATGCACTCAGATTGTTACCTCTTAGTGCATGATTACTGCCAGAAGGATTTTCATACCCTTGGGGGCAGAGCACAGTGCAAGAGAATCGTCCCCAAATCGCTGGGCCACCGAGACCTCATCTGTCATGGATATTATACTAACAGCCCTCTTCCAGCTCCTTTCCCTATCTAACGTGCCAGGCCCTACTTCCTGCTCGAATCCTCAATGGAAAAGTAGACAACAAGGAGTGTGGAGGCACAGAGACCCCACCACTGTCAGCTGTGTGATGTCTCTAAGCTCAGTTTGCTCAGCTGCAGAAAGAGATCGTAATTTCTCTCATGAGGTTGGTGCAGGCTGGAGAGAATTCTACAGAGCCCCTTCTATGTGAGATCCTTGTCTAATGTTTTCCATCTTTGTGAATGGCCCCATCACCCATGTGGTTCTACAAGCCAGAAGCCTGGAGGTCATCCTTGGCTCCCTTCCCTCTCGCTGCCACTCCAAGTCCAGTCAAATGGACCTTCTAAACCTCTCTCAAGTTCATGCACACCTCTCCATCCGCCCTGCCACCTCCCCTAGGTCACAGCAGCAGCCTGTAACTGGTCTACCCTCAAATCCTCCTACAACATCCCCCTTTGGACAATCCCAGCCAAGTTTATAACCACACTCTTTTTTTTTTTTTTTTTATTATTGTTGTACTTTAAGTGAAAGTTTACAATTCAAGTTAGTTTCTCATACAAAAATTTATACACACATTGTTATGTGACCCTAATTACTCTCCCCATACTGTGACTGCACACTCCTCCTTTCCACCCCTGATTTCCCATGTCCATTCAACCAGCTCCTGACCCTCTCTGCCTTCTCATCTCACCTCTAGACAGGAGCTGCACATTTAGTCTCATGTATCTACTGGAGCTAAGAAGCGCACTCTTCACGAGTATCATTTTTTGTCCCATAGTACAGTCTAATCTTTGACTGAAGAGTTGGCCTCGGGAATGGTTTTAGTGCTGGGTTGACAGAGAGTCTGGGGGCCATGCTTTCTGGGGTCCTTCCAGTCTCAGTCAGACCATTAAGTCTGGTCTTTTTACTAGAATTTGAGTCCTGCACACCAGTTTTCTCCTGCTCCAATGCGGACTCTCTGTTGTGTCCCCTTCCAGGGCGGTCATTGGTGGTAGCCGGGCACCACCTAGTTCTTCAGGTCTCAGGCTGTTGCAGTCTCTGGTTTACGTGGTCCTTTCTGTCTCTTGGGCTAACGCTTTCCTTGTGACTTTCGTGTTCTTTATTCTCCTTTACTGCAGGTGGGTTGGGACCAATTGGTGATTCTTAGATGGCTGCTCGCTAGCTTTTAAGACCCCAGATGCCACTCACCAAAGTAGGATGCAGAACATCTTCTTAATAAACTGTTATGCCAATTGACCTAGATGTCCCCTGAAAGCATGTATAACCACACTCTTGATGTGACCCACAAAACCCTGTATCACGTGGCTCTTGCTTGCTTCTCCAGTCACATCTCAGACAGCTGTGCCTCTCACTTTCCACATTCCAGCCACAGGGCCTTTGCACAGGTTACTTCTCCTGCCTGGGTGGCTTTTCCCCTTCTCCATCTAGCTATTCCTACTCACTCCTCAGTTCTCACACATTATTTCCTCCAGGAAAGCTTCTCTGATCCCCCAAACTCAGTCATATTACCCTGTTATCTACTCCTACAGGACCCCATAATCCTCTTTCAGAGCACCAATCACAAATTATAATCAGGTAACTGTGTAATTAGTTACATCTTCACCTAGACAGAAAACTCCATGAGGGTAGATAGAGGTCATCTTTTTGTTTGTTTCCCACTGAATCTCCACCATATGTACAGGTCCTGGCATTATTATTATCCCTGTAACAATGCTACCGAAATGAATATTATTTTCCTTAAAATGTAAGTACTCTATTTGTTACGGATCCCTGAGTGGCACACACTTCATAAATATTTGATGAAGAAATGAATTAATAAAGAAATGAATAAATGGAGAAACAAACAAATATGGCTGGGTAAAGCATTACCTCAGGGCAGGGGGTCTGGATGGCTGGCATACGGGCTTGTTTGGAAGGAGAGGGCAGGCCTGTTGGCTGGCCGGGGGAAGGCGAAGGTGGAGGGCTTTCCAGAGCGGAATCTGACACTACTCGCTCAGGCTTCTGCTGGTGTTGGTCCATATGGTCCTTGAGCTCTTCCAGGCGAATTCCCAGTTGGAATATCTCTGCCTCCAGCTCCCTGGAATGGGGAGACATACACTGGGATCCCAGGACGGCAGCACATCAGACAGGTCTGGGAGGCCATTCTTCAGAGCAGAGGCTACCACAGGAATACCCTTCTGGGGCCCATTTAGTGCCATCATTTATCTTATGTAGAGAACTCAAACAAGATGAAAGAGGACTCCACTGGGAATCAGAGGGTCTCAGCCCAAGCCCCTGCTCTGCCACCAGTGGGCCGTGGGACCTTGAGTAAACCCTCGCCTTCTGACTTCAATCTCCCCGTTGTCCAACGAAGGGTTATGGATCTTATCTCCAAGGCCCTTTCTCATTGTGGCGAGTGCAAAGGGACCTAAATCTCAGCTTTCCAGTATTCCACTATTTGGATATGTTGCTAATTGGGATGGGGTTTCTCCCTGTCCCCCTGTGTATGAATTATGGGGGACAGATGCCTTCCTCCTGGCAACCGAGGGAACGCGGGGGCTGCTCATCTGTCCTCCTGGGTCTCCCTCCCCAGCACATACCTGCTGGGATCAAATTGCCCAGGCATCCCTTCGGAGCTGGCAGACTGCTGAGCCAGGTGCTGGTCCCTGCAGGCCTTCAGGTACTCCTCCTCTAGGGCCGCGTGGGCAGCCTTCAGCCACTGGAAGCCCTGAAATCAGAGCAGGCCAGAGGACCTCAGCGCCCAGGCTCCAAGCGCTCTGTCCCTGCAGACATGGTGGGCCATGGGACTCACCCTGGGTCTACAGAGACCTCCCAAGTCCCTAGGAAACAAAGGCTGGGGTTGGGAACCTCTGGAGCCTGCCTGCCCTTATCTAGCTCTCCCCAAGGAGCCCTCTACCATCAGACTGGCACAGCAGAGGCCTAAGCCAGCCTTGGTGCCAGCTCCAGAAGGCACCAGCCCTTTCTGCATAGACTTACACGGACATTGATGTTCCAAGACAGTCCCAGTGTCAAACATTCTGTCACTATGTTCCCATAAGGACCTAGTACTTGAGAGACCCTGGATCCTCATTCTTGATTTGTAAAACTGTGGGCTGTGATCAATGAGTTACTCTTTTCCCAAGTTCTCATAGACTATCAAGACAAATGATGTCATCACACTATTGCTAATGATGACTACATGTACTGAGCATTGAGACTCTGAGCTAAAGCACTCTGCATTCAGTTCATTGAATCTGCATCACAATCCTAATGAGTAGGGTATTTTATCATCTTCATTTAAAGGGGGGAAACTGAGGCACAGAGAGATTATCTAAGTTGGGGAAGATCACAAAGTGAGTGAACAAGTTGCAGAGCCAAGATTTGAACCCAGGCCCCTGGCTTCAGAGTTTACAGTCCTAACAATTATGCCAGGCTCCCCATAGTAAATGTGATAATAGCTAATACATGGCTAAAACTATGGAAGGTGGGATCATTATCCCAGACTTGTTATCATCATCATTGCTATCCCACTCACTCTATGCTGAGGGCAGACCAAGGCCAGCGACAACCTAGAACTCAGTCCTCAGTCAAGCTTGCTCTTCCAACAGTTCTCAATCTCCCTGGACATGGGGAAATTAGGATAGAGTGGAAGAAAATGAGTGGTTTTCATTTTCAAGGACCTTTTGTCAACTTAAAATGCAGCAAACTCCCTGGATATAATATGATACATACCAGACATCTGTAAATGTAAAAATGTGAGTGATGTCTATATAATAACATAGGAAAATACTCACACCAGAGTATCTGTTAGCAAAAGAGGTGTGCTGGTTACTCTCCCCCTCCCCCTCGGAACCTCTCTCAGTCCCTCACCCCATCCTACTTGGTGCGTGGAGCATCGGCTGGGCCCCCCACCCACTGGCTTCCCGTTGGGTCTGTCCAGTGGGCACACCCACAGGCGAGTCTGGGTGGGATGAGAGAGGCCTGGGAGTGGAAACAGCTTCCAGTGGTTGCTATGCCAGAGGCCTACCCATTCCACACTGGCTCCCTGTCGCTGGCCACACATCTGCGAACACTCCTTTCCTTCGACCCCCTGGACACCCCACTTTGAGAGCTCCATCTGCTCCTTACTGAGATCCGAGTGGTGCAGCAGGAATCTAAACTTTATATATGATTATAAAAAATAGCAAGAACAGTTGCCATCGAGTCGACTTCAACTCATGGTGACCCCGTGTATGTCAGAATAGAACTGTGCTCCAAAGGGTTTCCAATGGCTGATCTTTCAGAAGTAGACAAGACCTTTCTTCTGAGGTGCCTCAGTTAGCAGCCGAGTGCATTAGCCATTTGCATCATCCAGAGACTTCTACATGACTATAAAAAACCCACTGCTGTGGAGTCGATTCCAACTCATAGCGACCCTATGGGACAGAGTAGAACTGCCCCATAGAGTTTCCAAGGAGCACCTGGTGGATTCGAACTGCCGACCTTTTGGTTAGCAGCCGTAGCTCTTAACCACTACACCACCAGGGTTTCCATATGACTATAGTTATCTAAAAATACAGACACCAAATCTCTAAAGGAAATAAGCCAATAATTGTTAAGTTAGAGGTCTCCTCTTCCTTTTTTCCCCTAGTTCCCAAATTTTTGGCTATTAAAAAAAAAGGGAGAAAAGAGAAACAGCCTTTCTCTGGCTGCTGAGAAGCAGGATAATCAGTGGGAAGCAGTGCAGGGCAATGATCTTGACCCTGGACTTGGGAGCCAGGCAGACCTGAGTTGGGATCCAGGTCTTGACGTCTACTAGTTGTATGGCCTTCACATCGCCTCTCTGAGCCTCAGTTCCATCCAGTTAAACAGAAGTGACGACTACAACTGTTGGATTTTTATAACGATATGATGAAATAACGTACATCAAGGGCTTACCACAGTGCCTGGCACACAGTGTCATTGCTTAATAAGTGGTAACTATCATGCTATAATGATCACTATCATGGAAAGCCAAGCAGGAGCTGTTTGTTGTAAAAGGAGATGCTGTGTCTGGGACTCGCTGGTCTTGCAGCAAATGAAGATTCAGGGACTCAGCTATTGGAGATGGAGCAGTTGCCTGGAAGCGCCGTGGGCATCTCCTAAGCTGGGCAGTACCTTGAGTTGGTCCTGTGGCATGAGCCGTCCTGCATGCACCAGGCCTTCAAAGGACTCCACCTGGACGTGGGGAGGGGAAGGAACATGCTCCATTAACCTGGACTCAGGAGGATGGGTCCTGCAGACTCCCACATCAGCCACATCCACAGTTTTGCATGAGAAGTTGGGCCTGGCCTCGGGGTGGGGATTGTCTGTCAACCACAGGGAGGCTGGCGCTGGAAACCGGCTCTACCCCTGGCCTTGGCCAGGCAGCCCTGGGGAAGAACTGTGCTCCATAGAGTTTTCAGTGGCTGATTTTTCAAAATGGAACCCCCATGAATTTATGGACAGCAAAGCACATTTGCTTATGTCCCGTTAGACCTAGAAGCCAGGATATTTACTGCAGCTTGGCTGCGGGGAGACAGGAAAAGGTTTAAACACATATCTGTGGGAGAGTGTGCAGTCATTAAAAAGATGAAGGCACATCTGGGTGTTCTGATACGTCAACATCTCCAAGATCTATATTTCAGTCTCAAGGCAAGGAACCAAATGGTGTGTATAGTATGCTACCATTTCTATAAAATATATAGGGAATGAAAAATATATTTGCTTATACATGATAAACTATTTCTAGGAGAATACACAAGAAACTGGGGAGGAAAGCTGAATGGCTGGGGGACAAGGATGGGAGGGAGATTTTCTATTGCATGTCCTTTGTTGCTTTTGTACTTTAAACCATGTGAATTCACTGCCTATGCCAAAATAAATATTTAAATTTAGTACAATAAAAAAGTCAAAGTATAGCCATCTAAGATACATCTATTGGTCCCATCCTGTCCAGAACAAACGAGAATGAAGAAAACCAAAGACACGGGGACCAAAGGACTAATGGACCACATGAACCACAGCCTCCACCAGCCTGAGCCCAGAAGAACTAGATGGTGCCCGACTACCACCACCTTACAGCTCTGACAGGGATCACAACAGAGGGTCCTGGACAGAGCTGGAGAAAAATGTAGAACAAAATTCAAATCCACAAGAAAAGACCAGACTTACTGGTCTGACAGAGACTGGAGGAACACCCAAGACTATGACCCCTGGACACCCTGCTAACCCAGAACTGAAGTCACTCTCGAAGTTCACCCTTCAGCCAAAGATTAGACAGGCCTATAAAACAAACAATAACACACGTGAGGAACGTGCTTCTTAGTTCAATCAAGTATACCAGACCAAATGGGCAACACCTGCCCAAAAGCAAAGACAAGAAGGCAGGAAGGAACAGGAAACCTGGGTGAATGGACATGGGTACCCAGAGATGTAAAAAGAAAGGGGGAGAGTGCTGACATGCTGCAGGGATTACAACCAATGGCACAAAACAATCTGTGCATAACTTTCTGAATGGGAAACTAATCTGCACTGTAAACTTTCACCAAAAGCACAATTTAAAAAAGAAAAAAGTCAGGTACAGTGTAACAAACTTACCTAGTTATGTAAACCATTTCTATAAACACGTGGGTGTGAATGAACATTTTTGCATGAGTGTGCAAAACACTGGTAACATTGGGAGTTTCTTAGAGGACTCAGGGACAGAAGGGCAAGGGTGGGAGAAAATAATTATTTTTCACTGAATATACTCTTTGTACTGTGTGAGGGTTTTTACCATTTGTGTGTATTACCTTTACAAAAAAAAAATTTTTTTAGCTTAAAAAAAAAAAGACTAGGGATGACTTAAGGGGTCACTTCTAGGAAAGAACCAGGTCAGTGTTATAATGGATTATAAAATTAAACAATATAATTAATAAATTACACAATTATATATTATAAATATATCATATATGAATACTGTATGTTTATAATATAAATGGAACCCTGGTGGCACAGGGGTCAAGAGCTCAGTTGCTAACCAAAAAGGTCAGCAGTTCGAATCCACCAGCTGCTCCTTGGAAACCCTATGGGGCAGTTCTACTCTGTCCTATAGGGTCGCTATGAGTTGGAACCAACTCGAAGGCAACGGGTTTGGTTTTTTTTTTAATGATATATATTACATTTATATATTTATAATACCATAAAATACATTTGTATATGTTTATAATATACAATTATATAATTTACATAATATATTAAGGAGTCCCAGTAGCACAGTGGTTAAGTGCTCGGCTGCTAACTTAAATAGAAATATAATGTGCGCTACATATATAATTAAAAATTTTGTAGTAGCCACATTAAAAATGTAAAAAGAAACAGGTGAAATTATTTTTAATAATATATTTTACTTAACACAAAATATTACCTCAACATATAATTAATATAAAAATTACTAATGACATATTTTATACTCTTTTTGTTTTGTACTAAGTCTATGAAATCTGGTGTCATTTTACACTCACAGCACATCTCAGTTTGGACTAGCCACATGTAAGTGCTCGACAGCCACAGGAGGCTAGCAGCTCCCACATCAGATGATGCAGCTCTAGATCATGAGGGGTTAGCAGGTGGGCTGAGCAGAGCCTGCCCCAGCTCTGCCCAGTGTGTTGACTTGGCTTTGCTTTACTTTACTGACAACACACAGGACCAAGGAAGAAATGCCTCTTCCGTTAGCAGACCAAGAATGGTGACAATAAAAAGGAATGACGTACAGATACATGCTACAACATAGATGAACCTTGAAAACATGCTCAGCAAAAGAAGCCACACACAAAAGGGCACACATTGTATGATTCCATTTATATGAAATGTCCAGAATAAGCAAACCCATAGAGACAGAAAGCAGATTAGTGGCTGCCAGAGGCTAGGGCTAGAGAGTAATGGGCAGAGACTGCTTCTATGGGTATGGGGTTTCTTTTTGGGTGATAAAAATGTTCTAACATTGATTGTGGAGATGGCTGCACAACTCTGTGATTACACTAAAACCCAATGAATCATACACTTTAAGTGGGTGAATTGTCTGGTATGTGAACAATACCTCAATAAAGCTGTCAAAAAAATGGTGTTGTTTCTCTGAAGGAATTAGTTTATTTTATGGACATGGTGATACATGTAACTACTGCATTTCCCTTTTTGCATCAACAACTAGGAAGCTCAAAGTCAAATGTTTGACTCTGGTAGTGTTCAGGGTCCCACAGAACATTTTGTTTACTCATTTCATCTTAAGTTCACTTTATTTTTTCTACCCTTACTTCCCTTTACCCCAGTTTCCTCACTTCCGTTTCCAGAATGTAGTTATAATGTATGTGTTTTCATAAGATGCTTTAAAGCACTTTGGGAATAAGACCAAGTATATACATATAAATAGACTACAAACAATTCAGTTAGCTGGACTGTTTGATGAAAATCTAAAGGCCCTTTGAGAGGTAACTGAGAATTGATTTCTCTAATGAAATGAACTAAGAAAGTGTGGCAATTTATCCTGAAGAAAGAAGGTAGAATGAAGGCTCCTTTACTCTTCCAGAATCCTGAAAGAGCTGCGAGTCTCCCCTGAGAGCAGATCAAGAGTCACTTTCAAGCACATCTGGAGGAATCTGATGAGACTCAAAGCCAAAAGCGCAAGAGTTTAAACCTAGCTCTGGGCGACAAGGTAGACGCTGGAGCCACGTGGTCTCCAAAACCAGGGGAGGGGCTCATGTTTCCCAGATGGCTAAGTTAACTCTGGTCCCGAGGCAGGAAAATGGACAAGTTGGCCTTGTCCAAGCAGGCAGAGGCTCTGCTTTCACCAGGCAAAGGTAGGATTCCACTAACCTTGGCCAGGAACCGGCTGGCCTGAGAAGCCACTGACTGGGTCCGCTCCCCTGAGGGCTGGTCACTGGCGACAACCTGGTTCTTCTGAAGCCATCCTGGGGTGGAGGCGTTGGTGGGTGAGGAGGGTCTTGGGTCTCCTTGGGCCGACTGCCACCCTGGAATACACAACCACTGAAGGTTGGAGTCAGGAACAGTCCCTCTGGGGGCTGAAAGACAATACCCGCCCCCTCAAAACCACCACCTCCACCATCAAAATACAGCTCAGTAATTCCATCCCATCTTCACATCAGCCTAAGGCACTGGGCAAGGCAGAGTGTTGCCCCCTTTTACAGGTGAGAACAAGGTCTACACCTGCCCTGGTTCATATAGCTGGAAAGAATGGAGCCAACGTCAAGCCTTTTGGTTCCCAGTCCTTACATTTCCCCCACCAAACCAAGCCACTCAATGTCGTGGTCAACAGCGCGGGCTTAACTAAGAAAGATGTGGGTTCAAGTCCTGGCCCTTCCATGTAGTGGCTGTATGACCTTCAGCATGTCACCTCTTTGAGCCTTGGTCTCAACTGTCAGTGGGGTAACAGCAATGCAGACTTGTCAGGTTATTGGGGGGTTGACAGAGATCAGGGGTGTCAAGGGCTTAGTGCAGGGCCCGGCCATGGTAAGGCTCCACAGATGAAACTGCTCTTAGTTAGGCAGCTCACCCAAGATCACCCAGATAATGTCACAGAGCCAGGATTTGAACAGGCTGCTCTGACTTAGAATGGGACACTTTCCACATCTGCAATTGACTTCTTCAAGTCAAAGGGCCTTGCCTTACCCCCGACCTGAAGTCAGTGCCATCCCAGCGTGAATACATACCCTGAGAGCAGAATCACAGCCAGGAGGACCCCTCAGCTGTGTTTCTTCTCTCAGACTCACCTGAAACCTCAGAGGGCTGAGGGGCCTCTGTGGGGCCTGGCCGCCACTCCGCTGTGCGGGGCTGTGGAATGGTGAAGGACAAGACTTTGGTCCCCTGGGACACTGTCCCCATGTGGGCACTGTGGCTGGGCTGGGGCGGGTCCGAATACAGGTTCACCTGGGAGAGGGGAGCACAGGCAGAGCCAAATCAAGGTTGGGCAAACCCACCCAAAAAGCCTCATCTTCAGTCACGCCTTCCATCAGGCCCTCAACACACACGACTTGTTAGACTAAATCCTGCCTTTTAATGAAGACTTTGGGAGGGGGCCAAATACTGGTGAAGGGTTCGCATGCCTTTTCATTCTCTTTTGATGGCAGTCCTGAAGGGAGGCAGAGCAGGGACCATCACCCCCATTTTACAGAACAGGAAACTAAGACTCGGAGAGGTTAAGTCATGTACTTAAAATCTCCAGTTGGTAAGTACTTGAATTAGGATGAAAACCTGCTCTGTATGACCCAAAAGCCTATGGTTTCAACTATTATTAATTTTTATTAATCATATGTAATAATAATTTATAATATATTATAACCAATACATTATACAAATCTCCACTCTTTGAGAATGAAATTAGTATTGCAAACAGCCCAGTTTGTAGGAGAGAAGTCTACAGTCAGGCAGATAACCAAGGAAGGCCATTTGAAGTGTCAAATTTTAAGAGAACCACATATTGTACCACGGTTTAGAGCAGGGACTGGTAAATTATGGTCTGTTTTTGTAAATAAATTTTTAAGTACAGCATGCTCAGTTGTTTATGTAATGTCCACGGTTGTTTCTGTGCTACAGTGGCAGAGGGATGCATAGTTGTTACAGAGACTGTATGGCCCGCAAAGCTTAAAATATTTACTATCTGGCCCTTCACAGGAAGTTGCTGACTCTCAGGTTAGAGCGTGGGCTCTGTAGACAGATTCAGGCTTCACATCAGGCTCCACCTCCCCACCTTTAAGTCCTGGAGCAGCTGACTTAACCACTCTGTGCACAAAGGGCTCAATAAATGGCAGCGGCTGCCATCACCATTGCCATCATCACCACCATCATCATCACCACCACCATCACAATTGCCATTGCCACCATCACCACCACCACCACCACCACCATCATTATTTATGCAACCATTATGGAAGCATTTCCCATTGGAAAAACTGTATGACTTTCTACAGCATCACCTTGGAAAATCTGCTCTCCCAACTGCCTCACTGGCACCTGCTTGTCATGGTGTCAGGTGGGTTATCTTTACTGCCCCCCTGCTGCCCCAAGGCCAGGTGATGGGCAGGAGTCAGGGCAGCCTGGTGGAGGCGGCTTTCTGGCCCCCAGGGAGGCAGCCTCTCCCTGCTTAAGCAGCTCTTCACATCTTGGCTGTGGCAGAAAATCTACTCTAAAGTGAGGAACAATCAGCCAGCAAGGCTGCTCCCCTCCCCCACTTTAGGGCTGGCCTCATTGGATGAGAACAAAGCAGGATTTGAATAATCCCCTTGGCCATCTGCTCACACTCGCCTGTGAGGGCCAGCCCCCTGGTACTCCTCTCCTCCTGAGGTGACCCAAATCCCGGGGGGAGGTTCCCCGTTGTGCTCCCCACCCAGGTCCCTGGGCCCACCAAGGCCCAACACAGGGGCTGGGGGGCTAGAAACAAGCAGCTCCCAGGCTGGGAGAGGGCCAGGGAAGCCACGAGGCCCCTTTGTCTCAGGCATCAAAGAGAAGCTTGGAAAAAACAAGGAGTCGAAAGCCTGTGCAGATGCCCATGGATGGGGAGATGGGGTAACTGCTCAGCTGCTCAGGCCTGTTCCTCCCAGGACGTGCTTCCCTGGACACAGCCTGGACCCACCCAGGGGGCCAGGGCACCCCTTTTAAGCAGGTGTGTCCCATAGGTGCTCCACAGATACTGCTACCTCAGGGGGGTTCATCAGGATTCTGTGACTGGCTCAGCAGAGAGTTTGGAAAACACTGGGTTAAACGAATGAATATTCTCTGCACAGAAGGATTTCTCACAGCCTTTAAAATGCTAATGACTTTATGAATGGGGCAGGGGGGAGGGGTAGAGAGAGAAGTGTTTCCCCAACTCCTTTGAACACAGACGCCTCCCTCATCACTTCCCTACCCCCCCACCCCCACCCCCACTACCAGGGGCTCTGGACAAACTAGCGACCTTGTGAACACACTTTGGGAGAGGTGGTTTTATGCCCTCTCCCCAATTCTTTCTGAGGTGACTTCTGGTCTCCCTCACCTCTTGTAGTCACCCAGATACCCCTACAACCAAGGTGGGGAAATGGGGCGAGGGCAGGTGGCAGGCAACAAGGCAGCTAATGTGGTGAGATGACCATAAACTCCGGATGACACCAGTGTAGAGAACAGAGCCCACCAGTGACTCCTGATAAGCCCGGCTCCCAGCCCCATTCCCTCCCAGCCCCACAGCTGGGCTCCCTGGCCCCGCCCCCAACTCCCAGGCTCAGGGTCCATCAGTGTTCTAAGGCCAGACTGCGGAATGATGGAGCCCAAAGCCGGGGAGCTGTTCAGCCTCTCTCGTTACCGATCCCTCGATTAGATCTATTATTGCTCTGCTAGAGAAGGTGGTGGTAAATCATGGGCTCTGACACCATATTGGGGCCCCTGGTGGCGCAGTGGTTAACAGCTTGGCTAGCAAACAAAAGATTGTCACTTTGAATCCACCAGGCGCTCCTTGGAAACCCTATGGGGCAGTTCTAATCTGTCCTATAGGGTGGCTATGAGTCGGAATCGACTTGACGGCAATGGGTTTGGTTTTTTGGTTTTTGACACCATATTGCTGGGCTCAAACCTCAGCTCTGGTATTTGTTGAGTGACTTGGGCAAGTTAATTAACTGCTCTGTGCCTCAGTTCTCCCAACTATACATTACTTAGGACCATGGTCATACACGTCACTTATTAGTAGTAGTACTAGTCATATGACCATCATTCTTCTGCCGTGTCCCCTTGCCTCTGCCACATACCCCAATGCCAGGGCCTGAGTCCAGCTTACCCAGGCACGGTAAAATGAGCACCCACTCTGGAATCAGACAGACTTAGGTTTCATTCCCACCTAGGGCTTCGAACCAGTTCCACCACAGATATCCCGAATCAGAATCTACATTTTAATAAGATCCCCAGGTGATTCTTACATCTAATAAATTTTGAGAACCACTGCTCTATTAGGGGTTCTCAGAACTGGTCCCTATCCAGCAGCATTAGCATTGCCTTGGAACTTGCTAGAAATGCAAATTCTCAGCAAAGGTTTGAACGTGAAGCCCTGTTGCCAACTTTGCCTCTTACTAGCTGTAGGATGTTGAGCAGCAAGCTACTCCACCTGGCTGTTTGCTCATGTGGAGAAGATCTAATGAGATGGCCCTTGGAGGACACTTAGCCTGGGCTCTGGCACCTTTTAACTGCTTGGCGGATGTCAGTGTCCTTCCTGTGGGTCCCCACCAGTTGCTGCCCCTTCCCTACCCACCAGGGATGGCCTGGGTGGCCCAGGGCAACATCCCCAGTCTGGCTTCCTTCAGGTTGGTCCACTTCTCCCCCTGCGAGCTCTGACAGAGTGCAGGAGGCTCAGCAGGTCCAGGGGGGTCCCCCCAAGCTCAGTTTGAACTGGGGTCCCTGAGAAGGGCTCTGAGTAGGAACTCTGGGGTAGCGTGCACAAATCCCAGACAGAGTGAGGAAGTCCAGCTTCCATCCTAGCTCCCCTTCAGGCCCCCATGGGACCTGGGGCAAGCTGCCTCCCCACTCTGGAGCTCTAAGTTTTCCGCTGGGGTTGGGACTGGGAGCCCTGCCCCATGCTGCCTTTCCAGGGCAGCCACCAGATGCTCTGAGATTAGAGTGAGGGGTAGTTAAACTGGCAGAGTTCAGTTTAACTATGTATACCTTCCCTTGAGAAGAATCTCTGGCCAAGGGGTCATTGTTCCGGAAAAGGGGGTGAACCATTTCCAGTCTCTACCACTTTCCCTTCTCTGACACACAGACACACAGACACACAAAGACACGGAGATACACACACAGAGAGATAGACACACACACACAGATGCGCACGCGCGCGCGCGCACACACACACACGCCTCACCAACTCCCCCTGCCCCTCCCCCCCCCATCTGGCTCAGTAGTTCACAGAACTGGAAGGAGCCGTAGACATCTGGTCTCGCCGTTGGCTTCTAGAGGCAAGTCTGATCAACCCCCTTTACAGATGTCCTCAATGAGGACAGGATGGGAAGAGACCTGCCTGCAGATGCAGGGATGCATGAGAACTCCTGCTCCTAGAACAGGGCCCCTTCCGTTTTCTCAACATGGTTGCCTCCCACTTGTGGGTCACAGGAAGTGCCTCTAGATGGGCCGTGAGCAGAGCCAGCAGCTGGGAGGGATCAGGGAGCATATGGGGGAGCAGGCCTGTGTGGGCCCTGGGAGATAGAGCTGGTGAGGATGCAGGGAAAGTCCCCATTTCTGCATTGTAGGTCCCCACCCCCTCCTTCACGGCTGCCTGATGGGGCAAGAAGGGGTTGTGGGGCAGGCCGGAAGCCACGAGGGGCTGCAACACTTCCCACTTCCTTCTTCACCCCAGAAAAGCAGAAGGTGCAAAATTCACAGCCGCCTCCTAAGATGTGGTAGAAGCTGGGTAGGGCTGCAGCCTGCTCTACTGGGGGGCAGGGGGCAGGGGGCAGTGGGATGGATTTCCCCCTCCACGCTCTCCCTGTCTCACACTCTTGGGCATTTGGTTAGGGGTGAGGGGAGAGTCTGTGGGGGGAGATGGTGTGGAAGGAAAAAGGCAAATGTGTGACCCAGGAAGGATCAGGTCCAGGAAACAAGTACCAGGGGCTGAGCAGAAATTCTGTGTTACACCCTTGAGGCTCAGAGAGCCCAAGTAACTTCCTTAAGGTCACAGAGCCGGTCAGGAGTCAACCTCAGGTGGTCTTACTCCAGAGCCCATCTAGAAGTGGGGAGCTTCTGGTGAAATTCTTGGGCTCCTCGGATTGTACGATTCAAGGAAGTCACAGCTTATCAACAGCAAAGGAGACTGAGCCCAGACAGGGCAAGGTCATTGCCAAGGTCAGAGGGACCTGTGGTCGAAAAGGGACTGGGGTTCCCCTGTCCTCAGGTTCTCAGAAGATGCAAAAGGCGGTTTGGCCCTTCTCTAAGATGATGGGAAAGTATCATCTCCCTGGGGTCCCAGTTCACACCTCCAGGGCCCCCAGCCTTGGTACCTTGGCCGCTAGGCGCAGATGGTCAATGGTGTTCTCAGCCTCTGCATACTTGGTGAGGAGCTTGTGGTAATCCTCCTGCAGGAAAGGGAGGGCAACATGGTCACAAGGCATGGTACCCCCTCCTCACTGGGAGAACCCTTGCAGGCAACCCCCTGTCCTGCCCATGGGGACTTCTAGGTTCCTCAAAGTAAAAGAGTTTGCTGGTGGGAGCAGAGCAGACCCCTTCAGGCTCACATGTCCAAATTCGGGAGCGTGAGAGGGGCCAGGAGAACTGACCCACTATCCCCTCCTCCACTGTCATAGTCACACAGTGATGCAGGATGAGGACCTCTGGGCTGCTTTACCTTGATGTCTGACCCCCATCACAGCGACTGGAATGACTTGCTTATTTGTCTGAATTCCCCACCCACCTGTCAGCTCCGTGGGGGCAGGCTCACATCTGCCTTTCCCACTGCTCTGTTCCCAGTGTCCCTAGTATGTGCTTAATAAGTATTTTTAATGAATGAGCCCAAGTAACTTCCTTAAGTTCACAGAGCTGGTCAGGAGTCAACCTCAGGTGGTCTTACTCCACAGCCCATCTAGAAGTGAATGATTGAATGAATGACTGAGCAGTAGAAAAACAGAAGACTCAAAAATCACAATTCTGTCTACTCAGTCACTACTTAACTTAAAACCAAAGTTTCATTAAAACAAGTCATTATAGGAAAAAAAAACAAAAGTAAATGTCATTGGTCACCTTTGAAGGAAACTGACTCATTGGGAAAACAGCTTTAAATCAAAAAGACAGAATCAAGCATTTATTCTGTGTTTTCCATATGAATAATACCTTGGTAACCAAATAGTTGATGAGGGCAAGTTTTACTGCATAGAAGAATTCCAGCAAATAACCGCAGAAGGAATGATGGAATACTATCATCAGAACACCTTAGAATACTGCCATTGTGTCACCCCAAGTGAATGACTAGACAATGACCATCAAAAGCAAGAGACCAGCAGGCATCCCCATCTCCTGAGGGAAGCACACAGACCACCCATGAAGTGCTCTTGCCAAAAAATCCCTACCTGCATGGTGCTCTGGGCTCAGAGGGAAAAAGGCATATGAACTAATGATTACAAGCTAAAAAGGCCTCCAGCTCTACACCTCCCAGTATACAGGAAAAACAGAGCACAGCAGGCACACTGATAGATACCCGGGTGCACGAGCAAAGCCCAGAATGTGGGAAACTCCACAGCACGGATCTGGTATCCTCAACAAATAGATTATCCTTTGCCATTGAGTTGATTCCAACTCATAGCAACCCTATAGGACAGAGAAGAACTGCCCCACAGGGTTTTCAAGGCTGTACGGAAGCAGACTGCTACTTCTTTCTCCCATGCAGTGGCTGGTGGGTTTGAATTCACTTAACCATGTACCACCAGGGCTCCCTAACAAACAGATTTCAAGGAAGAAACGAGTGGGAGGAGAAACTTACAGATTAAAAGAGATTGGGGAAAAAAAGAGTCTTGAAAGGCAAATAGGCCTAATGCAGTATCTGGATCTTGTTTGGCTCCTGACTTGGACAAGCCATTTACGAGACACATGGGAAGAGCTGAACACTGACGAGATGTTTGATAATATTAAGGAATTGGTGTTAAGTTTTAGGAGTGATAATGTCTTTGTTTAAAATGAGTCCTAATCTTAAAACAGAGCCCCGGTGGCAAAGTGGTTACGAGCTCAGGCTGCTAACCAAAAGGCTGGCAGTTTGAATCCACCAGCCACTCCTTGGAAACCCTATGGCACAGTTCCACTCTGTCCTATAGGGTTGCTATGAGTTGGAATCAACTTGACGGCACACAACAACAATCTTAAGACACACACACTAAAATATTTTTTGGATAAAATGATTTGATGTCTGAAATCTGCTTCAAAAAAATCCAGTAGGGGTGGGTGGGGGAAGAGGCAGGGCCATAGATGAAAAAGTTTGGGGTGAGCTGCTAATTGTTGAAGCTGGGTGCTGGGTGCATGGGGGTTCAGTATACTATTTCTTGTGTATGTTTGAACTTTTACGTAAGAGAATTTAAAAACAAACAAAATAAAGGATTATCCTTGCAACAAGAGTATAATCACTGCTTATGAACAAAAAGCTTGGGTCTATCTTCATGACTCTGGGTAGAACCCTCTCTCCAACGGCCTGGGACTCCTGGCCAGATCCAAGGCCTCCCCACCACAGACAGTCTCCAACCCAGGCCAACGGTACCTTGGTGACCTTCCTGAGCCATAAAAATGAGTCCAGCTTACCTGGAGCTGATGGACCAGCTTGGTGGCTTGTTCTGGTGTCTGGAACTCTTGGGGTACCCTGGTGATAGGGTGGGCAGGAGGTGGGTCCTTTGCTGGGGAGGCTTCTTCGCTGGTCAGCAGCACCTCCTGCACAATCTCGGCAGGTGACTTGAAGATCAGGGGCCCTGCAGGGCCCTGAGATTGCCAGCTGTGGCTCTTTGCCTTGGGGGGATGGTAGCTCTCATCTTTGGGGAACCTCACTCGGGGTCCCACCTTGGAGAAATCAGGGAGTGGGTAGTTCAGCCGTCCCTGGCCATACTTGGAGGCATCAGAAGAAGAGCGGCCAGCCAGAGTGGCTCCCTGCCTGGGCAGCCTGTCCTGCTGGGCTGGCCTAGGCCGAGGATTTGGGGGGCTGACAGAGCCAATGAATCGGGAAGGAAGCGGCTTAGCAGGTATCCTTGTCCGCTTCCAGGCTTGGTCCCCGGGCTGAAGGTGGGAGAGGCTGGTGGTCTCTCTCCATCCATCTCCAGGACACTGGAGGCTCTGGGGTGGGGCTGCTGAGGAGTCATGGAATTCTGTGGGAGTTGCCTGAGCAACGCTTCCTCTAGTTCTGTCGTCTGGATTTAGAAGGTGGCAGCCGAGGCTCTGTGGTAAAGTTTCTACCAGGGGAGTTGGCTGGGGAATATGGGTTTCTCCTTCCCAGGTAGAATCAAGGATGTCACTGGGGTGGCCGAGGCTCACAGTCCCACTGCTCCAGGACCTTGCAGAGCAGAGGTCAACAGATGGGCTGACCTCAGAGTGTTCTGAAAGCTTGTCTCCACTGGCTTTGTTGCCTGAGGCCACCCAGCCTCTTGCCTGATCCTGCCCCAGAGCCACAGAGCTGGAGCTTCCATTGCCCTCTGAGTCCTGACCAGTCTCATACCTCAATCTTGGGGAGCTCTCCCCACCTTCCTCAACCTCCTGAGGACTTCCGAGGGCCTCATCCGGCTCCTCTTCAGTCATGTCCAATTGATGATCTTGCTGGGGGAACCAGTAGACAGGCAAGTTGGAACTTTCTGGGCTGTCCACATCCTCTGCTTCAATCTCTGCAAGGACAGGTCATTGCTTGGCATATATCGGGTCTGAACCTGCTGTGCAACCTTACCTAAGTCACCTCACCTCCTTTGGCTTACATTTACTCATCATGTGGTGATAGCAAGAACCCCAATGAGTCCCCCATATGGCCAAGTGTTTATCTGACATCTCCTCTTATTGTCTCAAAGGTCCTTTAAGCACCAAACCCGAACTCATGACTCCCCTACCCAAAATCTTGTCCTCCCCTCAGTGTTCCCCATCTCAGCAATGGCAACACAATCCCATCCAGTTGCACAAGCTAGAAACCTAGGAGCCATCCTTACCATCTCTCTCCCCTTAACCCCTGTAATCCACTCTGTCACCTGGCCCTTTCAATTTTACCTCATACCTAACTCTCAAACCCACATACTGCTCTACAAGTCCACCACCACCACCTTTGCCCAAGCCAACATTCCCTCTCGCCTAGACCACTACAGTAGCCACCTAACCATGTCTCCAATCCTCTTCCTCATCCCCCATCTTAAAACCTGTCAATATCTTCCTGTTGTTCTCAGGATAAGAGCTGTCCCTTTAATATGGTCCTCAGGTTCCTGCCACTCTGGCCCCCATTAGCTCTCTGATTCATTTGTCTACACATCCCCCAGGTCTCTCCCTGCTCCAGCCACACCATGTACACAGCATGTTCTCTCTCACCGTGGGGCTTTGCACATGCTGATCCCTCCGCCAGGAAGACTCTTGTCCTCCCTTTGCCTAGTTAATTCCTATTTGCCCTTCATGCATTAGCTTAATCTTTAACTCATTAAGGAAGTCTTCTCAGATCTTCCTGACTAGGTCAAAGCCTCCCTTTTATAGGCTCTCATAGGACTGGGTACCTGTACCTTATAATACTACCACAGCTGCAGTTTTCCATTTACCTATGTGATTGTTTCATTAATACTTGTCTCCCTCATTACACTGCAGGCTCAATGAGGCAAGGACACTGTTTCAGTTCACAACTGTATCTGCATAGTAGGTGCTCAAAAATATTTGCACCTGACTGAATGGAAAGTAGGAAAGAAGAAAAGGAGGGAGGGAGATAAGTTATGCAAAGCTTCCAGAAAATAGAGAGTTGTAATTATTATATAGTAGGTGCTCAAGAAATAGTCATCCCTCTACCCATTCACCCAGCCAGCCAACCACCTATCCTTTCACCATCCATCCACTCATCCATCTACCTACCTACCCACCCACTCACTCATATATTACCTATCCACCCATCTCTCCATCCATCTCTCTCCATCCATCCGTCTCTCCATCTCTCCATCCATCCATCTCTCAATCCATCCATCCATCCATCCCTTCATCCCTCCATCCATCCATCCGTCTACCTACCCATCCATCCATCCGTCTACCTATCCATCCATTCACCCACTTACTCGTACATCACCTATCCACCCAGCCATCATCCATGCAGTCAATGTTTATTAAGCACCTACTCTGTTCTAGACACTGGATCAGCCTCTGGGACATATTCAAAGTTTTGTGAGACACACTCTGGGTATCACAAAGCACAGACTCTCTACTCTGGCCAGATGCACCTTTGTAATAACTCTTGCATCACTGTGTTCCCCTGTCCTCTTCCCCTCAACCTTGGCACCTCCACCTCCCTCAACTCCATAAAATCCCCTTCAGCAAGTCTGTCTTGTTTACAGCAGCACATCTGAAGCGTGGAGAGGTTAAGTAACCTGCTGAGAATCATGTAGTGGCTCAGAGCAGTCCTGGACCTAGAACCCAGGCCCCAGCTATGCAGGTGAGTTTGCCTCTGCTGCTAGTGGTGAAGTGAAGAGCATGGGCTTTGTATCCATGGAGACCTGGGTTCAATCCCACCCAGTTCCTCTGACCCCTCACTGGGTAGCCATGGGCAAGTTATGCCTCTCTGAGCCTCAGTGTCCTTATTCAAAGTTGAAATTAGTCCTTCCTACCTGGAAGAGGGTGGTCAGGAGGGAGGGAGATCAGGCCTGGGTCCTGCTCAGCCCTGTGCCTGGCACACAGTAAGGCACAGGAGGTGGTAGCAGCTGTTACATCATAGCAGTGTGGTTACCATGTGACCCCCTGGAAGAGACGCCTCTGCTCTTTCAACTCTGCCAGTTCTCAGAGGTGGAGTCACCCTCCCTGAGGGAGAGCTTGGAAGCAGTTCCTGAGTGGGCAGGTGCGGCAGCTCAACCAGACCTAGTAATGGCTTCTCTAGCATCCACATGGGGCCTACCCATTTCCCAGAATTATAACAGGAAGATGCTCCATTCATAACCTAAGTGCAATAGCTACCACACATCGAGCTCTTACTATTCTCAACGCTTTACACACTTGATCGGTTTAACCCATCACGACCATCGACACCAGTATTATTATTCCCATTTCACAGATGGGAAGACCAAGATTCAGAGAGGCAAAGAGAGTTGTCAAGCAAAACTAGGATTTTAGTCCATGGTGGTCTCAACACAAAGGGAACACAGTTATTGCAGAAAGCAAGGGACACCAATGTAGCCATTGCTAATTGGGATCTTAAAAATCTTAAAAATTGGTTACCCCTTAGACCTAGCAGTTCAAATTACCAAGGAAATTATCAAGTGTGCAAAGATGTACTAATATATAATCACAATATCAAAAAGTAGACAGTACCCCAACACCTACTAGTAGGGGACTGGCCTAATAAGTTATGGCCCAGCCACACCATGGAATTCTATGCAGGTATTAGGAATAACTTGTGGAAGAATATTTGAGGACATGGGAAAATGTTTATGTCCATTAAATTAACAAAAAAGTTGGCTACAATATAGTATGTAGAATACTGTTCCATATTCATGTTACATTTGTATATCTATACATACGGAAAAGAGTGGTTGGGGGGTAGGTGGAATGATCATTTTTAGTCTTCCCTCTTTTTGCTTATATTTTCTGATTTTTCCACAGTGAACAGTATTACTTACATAGTTTAAATCTTTTAAATTTTTATTTACATTATATTAAACTATAATTTATCATTTTAAATTATAAATCATTTATCATTTAAATTATAGACTTTAAATTTAATTTAAAATTTAAATTACAGATTTTAATTAAAAAAATATAAAGCACCTTCCACCACTCCCCATACCAGACAGTGAGGTGTGGGTGCAGGGATGCCAGAAGGTATGACAGAGTTGGGGGACAGAACTGGGGGCTAGGGAAGTCAGTCTCACCCTCTCCTGCAGACTCTCCAGATTCAGAATCCTGACACCCACCAGCCTGTGGGTCCCACTCCATGGGTAGTAGGTGCTGCTGGGCCAGGTGGAAGTCCTCCAGGAGCTCAGGGCTGGCGGCATTGGGAAAGGGCCCTTCTTCTCCACAGCTGCGGGTTCTATTCCCATCAGCATCTTTCTCTTCCTCGGCCCAGGCCCAGCGCCGCCGCCGCCGCCGGGGCCCCTTCCCCAGGCCCAGCTCGGCCCAGTGGACCTCAGTCCCCGAGCTGGCCATTGGGCCTGGCCCGCACTTCACCTGGGCCGCTTCATCCTCAGGAGACGGAGCTGCTGCTGTGGGCACCAGAGTCACAGCTGACTTCTCTCAGCACCCGACATCCTGCCTGTGGCCTGTTGGGGACACAGTCAAAGGACAGCATGACTCCTTAAGTCCCCTGCTTTATTCAGAACAAAAAGTTACCAGAGGGACTCTGGGATCAGACAGCCTGGGTGCAACCTTGGGCAAGTCACTCTGCCTTCATTGTCCCCATCAGTAAAACTGGGATAGTAATTCCTCTTTCTCAAGGGTTTTGTAAAATTACCTGAGATGCACGGTAAAGAGTCCAGCGGCTGAGACCTTACAGCTGGGGGAAGGTGGACAGATGACCCGGTGACTACAAATCAAAGCGAGAGGTGATGGGGCAACATTGAGCTGGGGCCTAAAAGGCCTAGGAAGTCAGGGAAGGCCTCAGTTTAGAAGCCACTTCCTCTGGGAGTCTTCCCTGAGCTTCCACAGTAAGAGGGATGGTAAAAAGGGCAGCATTCCAGGCACAGGGATCAGCGTGTATATACAGAGTCTGGAGGCAAGAGGGAGCGACCCTACCAGGTGCTTTCCTGGACGTGGAAGTGGCTTCCCGGTGGCTGTGGTACTGTGGACAGGGGCTGGGCAATACGGACAACAGAGAATGTGGGGAAGGAGAGGTGGTGGGCAGGGCAAGGAGGGCCTCTTGGAGTTCCAAGTGCATCCCGGGGTCTGGGAGGGAGCACTGAGGGTTTCAGGCATAGGAGAGTACCATCAGAAGTACAGCTTAGAAGTTTCCCTCTGCCTGCTCTGGGAGAATGAACCAGAACAGGTAGACTGGCCACAGAGGAACCCATTAGGAGGCCGTGGCAGGGGAAGAACTGCTGGAGAACTCTTTCCTGCCTTCCTTCCAACCTCTCATCTCCTTTATCTTCCTCCTTTCCCATCCTCCTGTTACCCCAAACATTCTCCAAATGCCTCCTCTGTGCCAAGCACGGTGCCGGGCCCTGGAAGCACACACAGATGACAGACCAGAAAGGCATAGCCCCGCCCCAGGAGACCCCAGTCTGGGAGGTTCCACAGAATCACAGCAAGTCAGCGTGGCAGGGGCCTCCAGGTGAGATCGCACAAAGGCTGGTTCCACAGGTGGGAACACGCAGCCCAGGGAGTGGAGGGGCCTTGTCCAAAGCCACACTGTGGACAGGCCAGCCTCCCGGCCCTCCATGCTGGACTGTAACTCCAGACCTCCCTGGACAGACACGTCTGTGTTTCAGCCTCGTGAGCGCTTGGATCCCCGTCAGGAGCCTTGATTTGTTGAGAAAAGTCAGCAGGCAACTATTTCTGGACAGATAGTTCCCCAGGGAACGGTCCAGCCAGAGCAGGGCTGGCTTCTCAAGGGCTGGAGTAGGAACAGGGAAGGACATTCTCACCCATTAGGCTACAACGCCTGCTCCTTAGACCAGGGCTCAGTGGCTTCCATTCTCTCTCCCCGACCCAGTCTCCCTCTCTGGCCCCTCCAAACACAGAGCCCCAGAATTTGCTCCAGATCGCCCTGTGCCCCCTTCCCCCACCCACAATCCCCACCATATATGCCATGCCCATTCTGTGTCGGCTTGGGCTAGAAGCGTATTTGTTCTCGATTTGCCCTCACACCAAACATACAAGGCACAGGAAAACTATAGCATGGAATAGCGACTTGGCCAAGATCACCCAGGTGGCCAGATTTGGAAATGTCAGTTCTGACCCAGTTTAAATTTTTTTATCGCACTGCTGTCCATCACTAAAAACATGTTTGCTCGTGTGCTCACATGCACAGCTCATCCTAGTATATTACAGGCATTAGAAAAAAAAAACAACCAAAAATAAAAATTTTAAAGATATGATAGAAAATAAATATTTTCAATGTAAGTTCTAATCCTTGCGTCCCATACCCTCTGGGGGGCCTGTATCCCTCATTGAAATCCCTGCCACAGTTCTTAACTACAGCATGCTTAAGAGTCCTCTGTTGTTATTGTTTGGTGCCGTCTAGTTGATTTGGACTCAAAGCGACCCCATGTGACAGAGTAGCAATGCCCCATAGGGTTTCCTAGGCTGTAATCTTTATGGGAGCAGATAACCAGGTCTTTCTCCTGCATAGCCAATGGGTAGATTCTAACGCCAACTTTTGTTTAGCAGTTGAGAGCTTAAGTGTTGTGCCACCAAGGGTCCTTTAAGAGTCCTTTAAGAATTCACATTTCTGGGTCTGCCCAAAGTGAGTCTGAGTCAGTGGCCCTGGGATGGGGCCCAGAATCCGCATTTTAAACCAGGGCCTTGGGCAAGGCCCTCCCTTTGATGCCCCCTGCACCTTCTCAGCCCTGCTGTGTTGGCAGGTGTAGGAGGTGCTGGGCTGAGCAGTTGCTTTTCTTTCTGAAACCTCCACTGAGGAAGGGACCCGGGAGGCGTGTGGTTTTTAACTTTTTTTAGGGCCTTTTTCTAGCACAGCCACAGAGCAGCCTGCCCAATCATAGACGCCTCCGGGTGCACAAAGGGGAACATCTTGTCTCCTGGGGTAACTCAGTCATCGCAGAAGTCTCACTGCAACCAGGGGAAGCTGCGCATCAGAGGCGGCTGCGGTCACAGGCTGGAGTTTTGCAAAGGCCCCTCAGGCCCCTAAACCTGTGAGCCTTTCCTGAGAAAGGTCTCTGCCTTCCACGCAAGCTATAGCCCTCAATGCCACCGAGCCCAGGACCAGCGTGGCACACCAGCACACATCGGGTCAGTCAGTCAGTCAACAAACACACACATGTGCCAGCCACATGCCTGCCTGGCAGGGCGATGAGACACCTCCCTGGGCTGCTGTGAGAGAGAGCCAGCCTGGGTGAGTGGAGGCCTGGCCTCGGCCTGGTACAGCTGCTACTCACGGTGAAATACTGGGTTCTCCCCTTGCCTCTCTGGGCTTAAATCGTCCTCACTGTAAAATGGAGAAAATGCAACCTGCTCTTGCTGCCACAAGAGCAGTGCCGCCCTGCTAGGGTGGGCTGGGAGGTAGGGATGGCACTAAATGAACTTTGAGATTCCTCCTTGACTCCACTGGCTTCTGGGGGCAACAGCCTCAGAACTGTAATCCTCCCTCCTCCTCTCTGAGGTTACATTTCAAAGGAACATATACACTGAGCACCTCCTCGTTGTTGTTAGCTGCCTTCCAGTTGATTCTGACTCATGGCAACCCCATGTGTGCAGAGGAGAACTGCCCCACAGGGTTACTAAGGCTGTGACCTTTAGGAGGCTGATCACCAGACCTTTCTTCTGAGGAGTCTCTAGGTAGATTCAAACCACCAACCTTTCGAGTAGTAGTTGAGTGCTTAACCAGGCAAAATAACTTAAAAATAATAATAATAAAAAAGAAAACTATGATTTCCTACTGTGTGCCAGGCATACACAAGACACAAAGAACACAGAAATGAATAAAAGTGTTCCAAAATTTCAAAGGGGGGTGTACAACCATAGAGGGGTTATTGAAGGAAGAAGGAAGAAGTATCAAGCTGGGCTTGAGTGATGAAGGGAATTCAATGAGAAGAATGGGGAGGGCATTACAGGCAAAGGGAACAGCACAGGCAAAGGCTGAGAACTGGAAGGAAGGGGAGCAGAGCCCTCGAAGGCCAGACAAAGGCTGGGGCTGTTCACAAGGGCAGCAAGACTGCACCGAGAAGCAGGGGGTTTGGTGAAGGCTCCAGCCATATGGACTGAGGGAAGCTGCACGTCAGAGGCGGCTGAGGTCACAGGCTGGAGTTTTGCAAATGCCTCTCAGGCCCCTAAACCTGTGAGCCTTTCCTGAGAAGGCCACTGCCTTCCACACAAGCTATAGCCCTCAATGCCATGGCGCCCAGGACCAGCGTGGCACACCAGCACGCATCGGGTCAGTCAGTCAGTCAACAAACACACGCCCTTTAGGCTAAGTCCCCCCACCTGAGGCCTCTTTCTCCAGTTCCCCACATGGGCCGAGCTCCTGTCCTCCCCTGCCTTCACCAGGCTTCTCTGCCCCCTCAGCTGCTCCAAAACCAAAGATCCCTCCCTTTGTAGCTCAATCACTCAGAACCACCCAGACTGGAGGGCTATGGGGACCATGGTCTCGGGGAACATCTAGCTCAATTGGCATAACACAGTTTATAAAGACAACGTTCTACATTCTACCTTGTTGAGTAGCATCTGGGGTCTTAAAAGCCTGTGAGCAGCCATCTAAGATACTCCAATGGTCTCATCCTTTTGGGAACAAGGGAGAATGAAGAGAACAGGATACAAGGAAAAGATTAATCCAAAGGACTAATGGACCACAGTAACCAAGGCCTCCACCAGACTGAGTCCAGTACAGCTAGATGGTACCCAGCTACCACCACTGACTGCTCTGACCAGGATCACAACAGAGGGCTCTGGACAGAGCTGGAGAAGGATGTAGAACAAAATTCTAACTCACAAAAAACAGACCAGATTTACTGGCCTAAAGGAGACTGGAGAAACCCCAATAGTATGGCCCCCAGACACCCTTTTAGCTCAGTGGTGAAGTCATTTCCGAGGTTCACCGTTCAGCCGGGGAGTGGACAGCCCCATAAAACCAAATGGGACTAATGAGGCACAGCAGTCCAGGGACGAGGGCCAGAAGGCAGAAGGGGACAGGAAAGCTGGTGATAGGGAACCCAAGGTTGAGTAAGGATAGTGTTGATGTGTTGTGAGGTTGTTAACCATTGTCATAGGGCAACATGTGTACTAACTGTTAAATGAGAAACTATTTTGTTCTATAAGCCTTCATCTAAAGTGAGAATAGCAGCGCAATTGGAAGAGCGTAGTTGAAGTCACTGAACTGTGCATGTAGAAATTTTTGAAATGGTGTATCTTTGGCTATGTATATTTTCACCAAAAAAAAAAAAAAATAGGTCGAGAAGGGAGAGTGTTGACATGTTGTGGGGTTGTTAACCAATGTCATAAAACAATATGTATACTACTGTTTCATGAGAAACTATTTGTTCTGCAAGCTTTCACCTAAAGTACAATTAAAAAAAAACAAAAAAAACACCCAGACTCCCTAGTCCTCCTATGCCAAGAGCAGCCATGCAGCCCACCGCTGACTCCCTGTGACTCCTAAAGCTCTTACCCATGCACCCCAACCCATCCCTGACATCTCCCAGATGAAGAAATTAGGCCGAAGAGAGTTGGGGAGCTTTCATAAAACCTCCCAGCCAGGAAGTGAGGCCCAGGGATTCAACATAAGGCACGGTGACTCTGAAATCAAGGCTGTCAGGCGAGTAGGGGCGGGAGGAAGGGGGAGGTAATCCCCATATCAAGTAGCTGGACCCTCCACAAAGGCCAGGCTATTGAACTCAGGGTCCTGAGCTCAGCTTCCCTCCCTGACCACTGGCAGGGAACAGACCTGCTGTTCTTGAGGGTTTCCTGCCAGCCCTGGAGAGATCAGCCCCACAACGATGCACCAACCCCTTCTCCCTCCTTCTGCCAAGAAGAAGGTGGGAAGGTACCCAGCTTGATGCAGTCTGAAAAGCTGAGCTGGGTTGGCTAGCCCTGGAACGTCCCTGTTCCTCTCCTTGCCTCCAGGCTGCAAAAGTGGGCCCCTCCTTCATGGGGACCCTGCCTGCCGCCTCCTGGCCTGCTCTTCATCCTGCACATCTCTGAGGCCCCTTAGCAGCCCGTGGGACGAACTCTCTAAATGCAGATGGGGACCGCCAGGCCAGAGAGGGGTCAAGGCTTGTCCAAGTTCACGCAGAGATCAGACCAGAGCTGGGACTGGAATCCAAGTGGTCCTGAGGCTTGACAAAATTCAAAATCCTCCTAAAATCCCCGCTTGCCCCAGGGGCTGGGCTCCTCTAAGCCGAGAGAGAAACCACACAGCTGCCGCAGCTGTGACTTCCTGGCTAGGCTGGTCCGGCCACACCGGACTGTCCCAGAGAGTCTGTGACTGGCCAGTCCAGTGGGAAGGCGGTCTCCCCTGCCCTCCTCTGCTCCCTTACCTCTCTAGGGCTCCACCACCATCCAGCCAGCCCAGACTCACGGTCTTTGTTCCAAACTTGGGGAGCCCCCTGCCTCCATCACGCCCTGTCACGCCTCCAGGCCGCTCTGCCAGCCCGAGCTGCTGCTCACAGACAAGCATCGCTCCCCACCTCTCCCCGCCCCTGCCTTGCTGAGGCGGCAGGAAGCGCCCAGCCTGATTTCCTACAAGTGTTTGTCAGAAGGCGGGGGTTTGTCTGCGTGCAGAGCTAGAGTGAGAGCTGGAGGAGCTTAACCCCTTGCAGGTCCTTGCGGGTCTGTGATGCTCAGGAAAGGACTCACAGAAACTTCCAACATCAGGGCTTGGGATCAGCTAAGCTAAGACCGTCGAGGTACAGATGAGAAGACTGACTCCCAAAGAATGTCAGAGGCTTGACCACAGTCACACAGCATGCTGACCTGGAAGGAGGCCTCCTGCCCTCAGTCCTGGGTTATGTCCTTAACCCTCCAGGAGCTCTTTCCTGACGAAGTCTCTCTTTAGCCTTCTCAACCATGGTGTGACCTCAGCCAAGGCGCCTTGCCTGGCTGGGCCTCAGGGCCCATCTGTGCAACAGGAGCTCAAAATCGATGTTTGCTGTTGTGCCTTTCCAGCTCCCACTCTCTGACCTGTCTACTTACGTGTGACGTGAAATCTTAAGAAGGCTGCAACGATTCCTACCATCCCACCCACTGTCCCTGCTTCCAGCTGGGCTTGCAGCTACAGTGAGATTTTCCAGGCAGCACGGAGGTAGGGAATTTGTTAATCAGGTGAATTTCTCCTGTTGTAAATACCCTCGCAGGGCTCATCAGAGGGCAGGGGACAAATTTATCCCAATGGGCAAGTTGCCTTTTCCCAAGCCTCCTGTTCATTTATTCAGCAGGTACTTACTGAGCTCCTACTGTGTGCCAGGTGCTTTTCAAGGTGCTGGGAATACGGCAAGGGTAAGACAGGCAAAGCCCTTGCTCTACTCTAGTAGAGACACAGATAATAAACGAACAGGTGTATAATCTCAGGGAGAGAGATGTGAACAGAACAAAGGAGGGTGGGACGGAATGGTGATCCACATCCTAGGCTGCTTTTGCTAAAATAAAAAGCCCAGGGCTTACCGCAGATGGCAGAATCAGTCTCTGGGCATCAGCGATCTTCAAAGCTGATGCATTATGTGGCAGCTGGGATGTATGGGCCTGGAAGACAACCCCTGAGATCGACAATGATGGGTTGGGGTGCTTCCTGCTGCTGTGGCCTTGGTGATGAGGGGGTGGGGATAGGTGAGCAGTGATGCTTGTCTGTGAGCAGGATGACTAGACAGAGAAGGGACTAGAAGAAGGAAAGGGGCACAAGCAAGCCACAACGAGCGGTAAGAGGCAGAGTGTTCTAGAAGGGAAAATGCAAAGGCCCACGGTGAGTACCAGTTGGGCTTGCTTGCCCTGAGAATAGTAAGGTTTGGTACCCAGAGCACAGTGAACCAAGGGGGAGGGGCAGGAGTAAGGGCTAGAGGGGCAGGCACGGGATCCAGACCCTGAACATGGCTCCCAACTCTGACCCCACCTGTGATCTGGAGATTCTGATTCAGGAAAAGAAAAGAGAAAAAAAAACATACGTATTGTACAAAAAGCTCCCCACGTGATTCTGGTGATCGACCAGGTATGGGAACTACCAGTGTAGAAGAGAAAATGTGAACTTTGGAGTTGATGTGGGCCTCAGTTCAAATCCCAGCTCCACCTCTGTGACCTTTGAGGCATCACCTCGCTATACCTCAGTTTCTTTATCTGGAAAATGGGGATTAGAAGAGTAGCCACTCACAAGGGTACTGTCGCGATTCAATGATGTAAGGTCTGCAAAGCGCAGAACATGGGGCCTAGAACTTGGCTCTTATTTACTGGACTATTATCATCATCATCATCATTTATGCACAAATGTCTGGTCTCCCCCAAGGGCTAGGTCTTATTACCTTTCCTAGAGCGTGGCAGACAGTTTGTGGCTGATGGATGTGTTAGCTGAATGACTAACTGACTGAACAAATGAACGAACTTTCCCAAAGCCACCAGAGTATCTAGCAGAGCCAGGACTAGAACCAGATGCCCTCATCACCCACCCCTCCAGCCCCACCCTGCCTTTTACCCATATCTGGGTGGTGGAGGGGCTCTATCTGTAGCCTCCTCCCCAACGTGGAACAGAGCCAAACCCTAATGAAGCCGCTCCCTGCCAGCTCTGGTGACCACGTGGGCCATTGTGTGAGGGGCGGGCTCCTCTGACACCC